CAAATTGTCATGTACGTAATGTGTTTTTTTCTTCCTTTTCATTGTGTAATAAACTTTGTTCTCTTGTTAAAAGTAAGTAGTAATTTTAAATAAAAACCAAAAGAACGGCAGATGCTGTTAATCAGGAACAAAAACAAAGTTGCTGGAAAAGCCCAGCAGGTCTGGCAGCATCTGTGAACGATAAAACAGAGTTAACGTTTCGGGTCCGGTGACCCTTCCTCAGAACGTTAACTCTGTTTTTTTCCTTTACAGATGCTGCCAGACCTGCTGGGCTTTTCCAGCAACTTGGTTTTTGTACATTAGTAATTGTATTTGAATATGTCCGGTGACTGGTTATCATGTTAAGCAAATTGAAAAAGTAAAGCCTGTGGGGTTACTCTGGGATCTGACTTACCAGTATTACTATCAGCTGGGATCATAACATTACAATACCAGGACAAGGTTCTAATAGGAGTGAGAGCTGAACAAGAGAGCAGAGAAAGAAAGGCATGATGGAGCAGCAAACCTGAATCAGGAAGTGCAAGAGTGGCTTAGATTGATGGGTACAGCAGCAGAGCAGACTATGCCAGAAGGAACACAGGCACGAATTGAAAGAGCAACGTTGGAGTGAGGTCAGACTCTGATCAGAGATGGGGGAGAGACATTACCCAATGGAACTAAGTTCAATATTGAGGGAAGAATCTCAGGTAAGGAGCTGGAATAGTTAAATCTGGTTTCAAATCTCATTTTTAATGTCTTACATTTTACTCTGATCGATTTATTTTGTGGTCTAGTACATTGAATTATGGCAGGAAATCTCTGCCCTGTTTAATGTGCGTCCTGCTCCATGGTGGGTGGGTGCTCCAGGATATTACAACAGGGCAACCACATGTACAGGAAGTGTCTTCAGCCAGACAAGTCTGAGCTTGGGATTTTGGAATTTGAGTGGTAGCTGGAGACAATACAGTGCATCCACAAGGCTGAGAATTTTGTGAATAGCATGTTTCTGAAAGTGGTCAGGTTGAGTGAGCAGGTTGAGATGGGATGGATGACTGCCAAACAGTCAAGTGAACTGTCAAGCAGATAGTGCAGGAGTCCCCTCCAATGCATCAAGAGTGGGTCAATGTAAGGGGAGGCAATGGCCTAGTGGTATTATCACTGAACTGTTAATCCAGAGACTCCAGGTAATGTTGTGGGGACACCAGTTTGAATCCTGCCATGGCAAATGGTGGAATTTGAAAGCAAGAAAAAAAAATCTTGAATTAAGAGTTCTAATGACTATGAAACCATTGCTAATTGTCAGGAAAAGCCGATCTGGTTCACTAATGTCCTTTAGGGAAGGAAACTGCCAACCTTATCTGGTCTGGCCTACATGTGACTCCAGACTCTCAGCAATGTGGTTGACTCTTAACTGCCCTCTGGGCAATTAGGGATGGACAATAAATGCTAGCTACCCAGCGATGCCCTCATCCCGTGAATGAGTCAATTAAAAAAAATCTTGCTTTCCAACTATTTAGCTCTGAATGCTGGCAAGGATGATGGTTCCTTAGAAGAATGCAACTTGAAGCAAGTCCATGATATTAAAGTGATTCAACTATAAAAGGGAGCAGCAAGAATATTAGGAAAGCAATAGTGGTGCGTGATTCTTTAGTTTGGGAAAATTGACATTTCTGTAGCTGCAGAAATAATTCTTGTTGATATGTTGCCTCATTGATGCAAGGGTGAGTGATGTCACTGACAGGCTGCAGAATACTCAGGAGGTAAGGTGACCAGCCAAAAGCTCTGGTCCATGTTGTTACCAATCATGCATGGAAAGAGAGATGAGCTCCTGCAAGCAGATTCTAGGGAGCTAAAAAAGAGACAAACCAAGGAACTTCAAAGGTACTAATTTATATATTCAACACAGTGTGGAGCTGGAGGAACACAGCAGGTCAAGCAGCATCAGAGAAGCAGGAAAGTTGACGTTTTGGGTTGGGACCCTTCAGCAGAAGGGTCTGAGTTCTGATGAAGGGTCCTAACCCAAAATATCAACTTTCCTGCTTCTCTGATGCTGCTTGACCTGCTGTGTTGACTCTGACTCCAGCATCTGCAGTTCTTGCTATCTCTAATTTATATATTCAGCCTAGGCTTGCGCAGTAATGAATATAGAAATTGGAAGGTAGAGCAAATAAATGCTTGGCTGGAAAGATGAAGGAGCTTTAGATTTCTAGGACATTCGGGCTGAATCTAGGTATAATAGAACCAAAACAGTGGAATGTGTTGAAAACAAACAGGATCAGAACCATTGTCCTTGCAGGGCATCTTTCTCATGCTGTTGTGGAAGGTTTAAACTTGTTTAAATCAGCAAGGAGATGGGAACATCAGAAAGGAGAAACAATGTGCACAAAAGAGTAGGAGAGATTGCGTGAGAAGTTGTCAGGAATTAGGTGGAAACAGGCGAAGAGGGAATAAAATAATTTGTTTGGTTACACTGCATGTAGGTGAACACGTAAAGCCTGGTAGATAAATTTGATGAGCTACAAGTGCAAATAACCACATCAAGTAATTTAACTTTAGGATTTTAGGAACATTCCTTATTCCAGTCCTACTTTGGGACCAGGCCCTACAACTTTTTCTCTAGCAGATCAATGATTGTCTGGATCTGGAGAAATGAGTTACTTTTACTTTCAATTTCCACTCTTTTCCAACCTTAACCTGATCTATTTCCTACTCCTCTGTTCCCTTTTCTTCCTTTCTTTCTCTGTCTCAATTTCCGAGGAGAGCCTGTCCACTGTTATTCATTGCAAGCTGACCAGCTCCCACAACTGCCTCGAGCACACTTCTCAGCTTGCTTCCAGTAATGATTTCATTCATTTCTCTTATTTTCTGTGGTACGCCTGTTCTAAAGGTGCTACCTTCCACAATTGTGTTTCTGGCATGTCTTCCTTTTTTTTTGAGGATACCTGCACTGTGATTGAGGCAGTAGGGCGTTGGGGGGTGTCTCATCTGTGTCTGACCCATTCCCACTTCTGTCTGCTGCCACCCCCCCAACTCAAGAGCCAAAATGGGGTTTCACCTGTCTTCACTGTCCATCCCGCCAACTTCCATATTGAAAGGTCCATCCTCTGTCATCATTGCCACCTCTGGTATGATGCTGCCACCTGCCACCAAATGGATCTCCTCCTCCCCAGTTAGCATTCCAGAGGGAAAGACCCCTCTGTGACGCCCTGGACTACTTCTGTCACTCACAGCACTTCATACCCTCGCACAGCATCTTACCATGTAATCGCAGGAGGTGTAACACTCGCTTTTTCACCTCCCTTCCCAATGTCCAGGATGCTATTACACTTCTGCCAGTGAAGCAGCCATTTACTTGTATTTCTTTGAGTCCATACTGAATTTACCTGTTGCAATGCTATTTCTTCCACACAGGGAACGTGGTCATGCTAATTTCTTCACGGAGTGCCTCTGTTCAGTCTGCAGATTTGACTCTGACCTTCCATTTGTTTGCCATTTCGATGCACCACACACCATCTTGCTCTTATGTTCATGTCCTAAGTGTGCTGCAGTATTCCTGTGAAACCCAATACAAGCTGGAGGAACATCATCTCAATGTACAGTTTAGCACTTTACAGCCTTGTCGCTTTAGTACTGAGTTCAACAACTGCAAACTGTGAACTGTGCATTTCAATTTAAATGTCTTTTCCCCTCAATATCTGTAACTTGTTTTTGTGTTTTTGTTTTCAGCAGGCGCTGACCTTTATTCTGCTAATAACATCTAATCTGAATCAATGCTTTGTTCCTTAATTAAAACTGTTACCATTAACCTTTGTTCAGTTATACTGTTGATTTTCAATTCCCTAGCTCTTTAATGTTTTCCTGAGCTTCCCTTTTGTTTCAGTTACCATCTTTTTTTTCATAAAACACATGACATTTTCCCTTCAATTTAGTTCTGGTAGAGTAGCATTGGAGTGGAAGCATCAACTCTGTTTCTTTCTCCATAGATGCTGCTAGACCTGTTGAGTTTCTTCAATACATTCTGCTTTTACTTCATATACCCAGAATTTGTTGGATTTTGCTTTTTGTATTATTAATTTAGGCTGGTTGGTTTGCTTGGGGAGATGGTGAGGAATTGTGAGGTTGGATGTACATTGTGGCGTTTAGTTTAAGTACTTTTGGGAATTGAAGAAATGCTGAATTTTCCCTTGGAAATAAATGCATAGTTTGTGAATTAAACAAGCCTTTAACAATGAGACTTTTCTCGTTTAATTGTTTTAAAATTGTTAATAGTTGATTTTTTTTGTTAAAGTTGTGATTGATATAAACCATTTTTATTGGAAATTGTGAACTTTTTTTACTCTTGTTGCAATCTTGTTTCTGAAGAAATGCAGCATGCAAAAATGGAGGTAGAAAATTTGTGACTAATATTATAATTTAATGCAAAGTTCAGAAAAGGAGAAATAGAATAGATTCTTTTTAAGGAAGTAGCTGGAATTAAGCCACTGGAAAATAAAAATTTGACAAAACAGATTAAACTGTACCTCCTGATATCCGCTTCAGAAGGGTACACCCAGCTAAAGCTAAGGATTCCAATAAACATTTCTTCTTTTGCAGGTATCTCAAGTTGAATTTGTATTTTTTTCACTATTTTGTTGCAACTGCAGTCTATCCCGTGAGATTTGGTGCAGTAAATTATATTATGAATTATGGCCATGTGTTAATATGGTAGACATCAATTTATATGTTTTTGTCAATCTTATAATTCACATTCATCAATTTGTTGCTTAAATACGTGAACCATTATTCTAACAGTAATTAAATTACGCAGATACTGAAATTCGAAATAACATGTGGACAGTTATTCTTATTCTTTGTCTTTTTTTTGTACTTTATAAACAAGATTGGATTTCATAGTGCACTTTTAGTCCTCAACAGATTTCCAAACTCAGTCAGACATGCAAACAAAATTTTTATTCAGTGCAAAACAGGACAGCTGGGAATCTTGTAATATGTCTCACTAATTCCCTGTTCTTCTTTCACAGTCAAGCATCATACATAGGAGGGAATGTGGTCTGAGTCACGATCACAATGTGGCGAAAGAAATCAACGGGGTCGCTTACATCCTGAAAGAACACAACATGCAGTAAGTTTAATCGTAACAGGTTCTTGTATCTCTCCTTTTCTTCCTGCGTCAGGTTTTAACATACTTAGTTCTAAACAGTAAGTGCTGATGTCTTAGTCCATTGAGAAGGTAATACAGCAACAACCAGTTCCATTCTCACTCATTTATTTTTCTCACTACTTTATCCTTGTACAGTTACTTACTTGTCTTACTTTGGCTGAAATGGGCTAATTTAGTTAAATCTAGTTTTATGGTGCATATTCCACCTAACTCATAGAGCAGTACAGCACAGAAACAGACCCCCTTCAGTTCGACTTATCCATGCTGACCAGCTTTCCAGAACTAAACTAATCCCATATGCCTGTGTTTGGCCCATGTCTCTCTAAACCTTTCCTATTCATGTACCTGTCCAAATGTCTTTTAAATGTTGTATCTGTACCTGCATCTACCATTTCCTCTGGCAATTCATTCAATATGAGCACTATCCTTTGTGTGAAAAAGTTGCCCCTTGGATCCCTTTTAAATTTTTTCCCTCTCACCTTAAACTCCACTACCCTAGGGAAAAGACCTTTTGCTATTCACTTTTATCTCTGCCTCTCATGATTTTATAAGCCTCTATAAGGTTGCCCCTCAAACTCTTATGTTCCAGGGAAAAAAAATCCCAGCCTATCCAGCCTCCCTTTGTAACTCAAACCAACAAATCCAGCCACATACTTGTAAATCTTTTTTTTTTCCTGCACCTTTTCCAGTTTAATATTTCTAGTGATGATGAAACTACTCTGAGTTTTGAAAGCCTCTTCCAATTCTCTGGTCCTTTTCAGATGGCACATTAGCCCTTGGGCATTATTCTTGGGCATATTCCTCCACCTCCCATTCTCAGCTTTTCCAACAGCAGTGAAATCCCTCTTCCTCGCTCCATAGTTATTTGTTCAGTGAACAAATGTTACAATTTTCAGCTTGAAAGCCATTTCATACTTATTATATTTTACTGGAAAACCCATTTTTGTTCATCATTCACCATGTCATATGTGGTTTGCCCTACCTGGCCACATCTTCCAAATCCCAAACATTTTTTGTTACCCGTGTCACCTGTGTGATCTCATGTGCCAATTTAGAAATGCATGTTTTATTTATTTTATGCTTGAATGTTGACAATTTGAGACTCATTACGAATATAAGAGTTGCACTTCATAGCTGAAAGGGATGGTTGACTTGTAACCCAGGTATATGCTAAAGCATGATTTTTGGCACCAAAAAGCACCATCTTATTCACCAGAATCATTACAAGACAAAGTTCTTGGGGTATAACTGTTATTGAAAATTGAAGTGATACGCAAGAAGATTGCTATACACGGGACTTAAATATTAGCATAAGCTATGGAAAATGGAGATCACAAACACAAAATGACAAACGTTTACTCATGTAGCAGTACAGCTGTGACTTGCTTCAAATGTTATTTTGGTGCAAGTGGAGAGTTATGTTTTATAGCTACATTTTAGCCTCAACATATCAATGTTGCCTTTTCTGACAATTGTTGAAGAAACCGGGAAAGGGCTATAAATTTGCTATGTGGTACAGCACTAATCCACAAAGCATTCCACAGTGTGTCTGTGTTCTGTGCTTTTAACCAATCTTGCACAGGATCTTAGAGCAAAGTAGACCATTTGGCCCTCAAACCTGCTTCCCTTGCAGTGAGGTACTTAAAACTTATTTTCCCTGCTATAGGTACATGGAAACCAAGGTGAAGTTTCAATTTCTGATTACAGTTCAGGGACTTCTGCCAGAAATATGAGTGAGTAGGAATGGGCTAAATTTCCCTGCTCTGTCAAATAGTGTCCCGGCACTCAACTTTGGATTAAATGTTTGATTACTCGATTAACGAAACTAGTTAATTAACTATTGTTCTATAAGTAATTAAAAGATTTTTATATAAGTAAGTAAGAATGTTAAAGGTTTTGTTTATTGCATTTATTTTCTTTAGTAATGTGTGTGCTGTCTTAGGGAAAAGTATTTTTAAAATCTATGGCATTCTAATGTTACTATGGTGTTCTGCCACAAATATTTTGAACCTTTTCTCCTAGGAATCTGCAGATTTTCAAAGATCAGTGCAAGTGATGTCAAGGAGGCAGGATTATGATCGCTGTGGTGATGGAGGAAGAGGTGGCAGCACAGGCCGTGAATATAATTATTATAGCCATTCTGAGGAGTATCGAGGGTATTCTGCTGACAATCGTGATTATGGACATGGTCGCCGGTTTGGTCCTTCACCCAAAACTGGCTCCTGGGTAAAGATAACCTTTCTCCCCCACAGTTTTTTGCAAAGCAAATAATTATTCATTATGCATTTACTGCATTTATTTTGATTCTGTAGTTTCTGTGACTTTAATTGGATAGTATGCATCTGCAGTATTTGTGTCATGTAAAAGATGAACTGACATTACAGTTTGGTTTTTCCCTGCTTGTTTTAAGTTATTTGGACAATTGGCAACAAATTGCAGCCAATTTTTCACTATTTCCTTAATTTCTTATTTGTCTGCTGCAATGTACGTACCCTCATATCAGTGCTGCGTTCTGAGGAAGGGTCACTGGATCTGAAACATTAATTCTGATTTCTCTGCACAGATGCTGCCAGATCTGCTGAGCCTTTCCAGCAATTTTTGTTTGTGTTTCATTTTTCCGGCATCCGCAGTTCTTTCGGTTTTTATTTACCAATGTACATACCTCTATTTTTAATATTATATTTGTGATTAAACTACAAAAGTACCTTTTGCGAAGATGCAAGGATTTGTATTTCTTTTCCTTTCCAGGTTTATTTTTCATCACCGTTAAATTTATATTGATTGCAAAGATATTGGTTTAGAGGAAACCTATTTAGTCTTCAAGTTCCCTGACCAATTCCATTGACTTGGAAATCTGAAATTTTCCTTTTTGTATCACCAGTCAATTGTTAAAAATTATCATCTGCTTCTCTATGACTAGGTATATACATAGCACCAGTTCTGGCTCTGGAATTACTATGTAACACAAACTGAATTCGCAAGACTCATTCTATTCTTTGTCATGTAATTACTTTTATGTGAACTGCGGCTTACATAATGTGCTGGAATTGAAGCCCTGCTTTACTGGAGTCAGTACAACAAGTAAAGATTTTTAAAAGTAAAATTCCTCAATTTACATCACTTTCAGGCTCAAGTTGACAGCACAGACTAGGTTTCGGTCAACAAAAATCGTTGTTTATTACAAGTAATTAGATTCTAGCTACGGGTAAACAATTAGGAACCGTCAGCATATAACATTACTATTTAACACTCTTGATGTTTTTATAAACACCCCCTTACATGCATGCATGCACAGGCATACACACAGGAAAAAGTGGTTGTTACAGACAGAGGGAAAGACTTGGAAGGGAGTTCAGTGGTTCCTGTTCACAGGGTTGCTGTGCTGATTCTTGTGCTGGTCAGAAAACTACTTCCCAGTTTTCTTAGAGATAGCAAGAACTGCAGATGCTGGAGTCAGAGATATCAGTGTGGAGCTGGAGGAACACTGCAGGCCAGGCAGCATCAAAGGAGCAGGAAAGTTAACGATTCAGGTCAGGACCCTTCTTCTGAAAAAAATGAAAGGATTTGTATTTCTTTTCTTTTCCAGGTTTAATTTTTCGTCACTACCAAATTTACATTGATTGCAAAGATATTGGTTTAGAGGAAACTTATTTAGTCTTCAAGTTCCCTGACCAATTTCATTGACTTGGAAATCTGAAATTTTTCTTTCTTTGGAAGCTTTCACTCGTTTGCAGGAGGCTCAGAGGATTCATTTATACTTATAAAAGGTCTTTAACTTTTTTTTAGTTTAAAAAGTCAAAGCTTGCAGCAACTGCTGAAGGGAAGGAAAATTAATCTGATTTTCTTCAGCTTTAAGTAGTTTTTTGCAGAGAGAGCTCCTGAGATGTTGGGGGTTTAAAGGTTATTCTGTCTTCTTTAGAGTCCCAAGCTGTACAGCTGCTTGAAAATTAATCACATAGTTGTTCCTAGGCAGAAAGCCTTTGTCATTGGTTTGTAGACTAGTGACCATCTATTAGCTGCTTGTTGCTAACCAAGCTCCATTTGTACGCATCATTTGGCTCTAGCTCATCTGCAAATTACACTTCAATTACTGCTTCAACAAGCAGTTGTATAAACAATGCTTGCAATGAGTGCCAGATTACTTGCTTCAGCAATCCTCCAGCATTCCTTGGTTTTTGAAACAACAGTTTTTTAAAAAATTTCGGTTCACAATCAAAACTATAGAAAAATAAGACACTGTCTTTACAGCGCCTAACCTTTCCCTTCAGAATTGTCTCCATTGGTTCTATTATTTTCCTTACCCTAGCAACTTGGAGACAGCAATTCATTCTAGACTCACTATCGTACCTGGAAAAATGGCACACCATTCCTCTAATGTTAGAATCCCTGATAACCACCACTATTTGTCCGTACAAAGTTATTCTACAATCCCGTGCTGTTTATAACATCGAGTGTTTGTCTTCACCTGCAGCATAGGTATTCTCCTCTGTGCACCTATCAGGTAATTCAGAGCCGCAGGAATTTCCTGTTGAGCATCTATGCTAATACTTCTCATCTCTCCGTGAATTTCCATGCTGTTTCTTCCCTTCAACTAGACGTAAATGTCGAGGTGAAGCAATACATGTTCCTTTAGCTGTTTCTCCTGTATAGTGCACAATAACTGCTTGTTTCTGAAGCTCAAGTGAGCCTGACTGTAGACTGTTCTTATTTCTTGTGGTCGCTCTGAACACTGCTGTAATTCCCACGTGCTTAAGAGGTTGATTGCCCAGCCGGTCCTTCCACTTTTCAAGGTGGAAGTGGGCGGGTTTGAAACAGGCTTTACATTTTTATTTTTAACTTCCCATTTGGCACAAACCTTCCTTAACTGTGAATTACAATTCTCCTCCACGTATATCATCCTATATAATTTATTTTGAGTTGTGACAATGATGTTTAAACTTTTTCAGAGATAGACGTTGTCAATTTTTGTCTTTGTTTTTGCATAAAATGAATCCAGGATGATGAAAATTCAAGGTGGCCCAGAGAGGATCATTCAGAAAATAGACCTTCCGATTATAGGTAAGTGAAGAAAGCAGTGTTTACATGGGTTTATTGTCCTTGGAAACAACGCTAGAAGAACACTAAACAGATTTAACCCACTATAAATGCAAACGATTAGCTAGCTGAAACATGTGTATATTGTCTTCATCTTGTTTTCCCGATTAAATCATTATAGGTTTTCTTCTTTACATACTTTTATATGCCATTTGCAAATTGCTCTATTTGTTTCACTACAAAGGGCGATCGAAATTAAAAGCTGACTTTGTTAAAACAAAAATAATGTGATGGGGACATTTTTTCAATCTGTTTATTGCTTGATAAACATTTGTTACAGCAGGACCAAAACCCTGGATTTCTCAAAAATTACAGTCCCTGTGGGTATCAAAAGCTTTTAAAGTGTTCTGAATATTTCAAGACTGATGAAAGCATTGCACAACAAAATTCACATTTTGAGTTTACTAAAATCAATATTGACTAAGCATTAGTTTGTAGGCAACTAAGCTACCGAAAAGATATTTTCCCCATAAATAAACTGGTGTGACTGAAATCCCCATGTCATATTAATACCTTGTGGTACATTTTCTGCAAGTATGTAGCCTCCTAGTTAATGTCCAATTCCATCTTGTCGTTTCAGCAGGATCCCTTCTCCTTGCCACCTCAGGGTATGTTTTACTTTTGAAAGCTCAATCACTCATCAAACTGATTTCCACCAGAAAGGCACCCTCTGGCGACTACTTGGTTCATAAATCTCCTCAAGTTCCATCTTTTCAAATAGAAAACAATTTTGAGATTAACACCAAACATTTCCCTCTGTTTCTCACAGCAGTATCACCACCCTTCCGCTGCACCCCACCCCCACCCCCCTGACCCGATACCACCCTCTCACCCCTTCAGCTGTTATGGGTCCTCACCTGGCAACTGAATGGCATCGTCCGGTATCCGGTCAGAGTTCACAACACTTAATTTTTAAACGGTTTGTTTAAATTTAACTGTCTTATAAATCCATTTATAGTAATGCAGTGTTGCCAGATGTCTCATACCCGAGTGATATTTTTATGTAATAAGTGCAACTAGTTTGGGAAAAAAAATCTGTTGGAAGTTTTTTATTACTGAATGATTTTGGTCTGGCTTTCTTCAGTAGGGTAGATAATGTGGAAGATTTAAAAGGTTTGAGTGTGCAATTCCTGTTGCACTAATGAGTCTTGGTATCCAAAATAATCATGGGTTTAATGCCAATTTGTACTCAGTTAATTGCTCTAAACATTCTGGAATAGATTTACTGTGCATTTTGAGTCATGTGAATAGTTTTGGTTTCATGTCTGTTTAATATAATTTGGTTGTGAGTTTTACATCTCCAGCTTTTCACTGATTGCAGAGTAACTAGAGTTAGTGCAAAATTGAGTTTGAAAGCTGTGATGGCGTCACATTATCCTACCTGAGAGAATTTTAAATTAATACTTTCATTGTCTATAAGACCCTGTCAGTTCTCTGATAACATAATAATCGGGCTGATATTTGGATGTTAATAATTTAGCATCTCTGGATAAGTTTCTTGTCTGCGTACCAGAGCTCCATTTATCCCTAACAAAAGTGATGTGAAAGTAGCATAATAAATTGAACCTGCTGTTTTTGATCCTTCAGTGGGCAATAATCTCAAACTTGTGCTAGTTGGAATGCTCTGCTTTTACCATCTTGAGGCTTTATCTTGTTAGTGAGGCAGTAACTACAAGAATACAATTCAACTTAGTAATCAGCAAAACAACGTTTGCTGAATAGAATTCTAGAAATTCAGAGCATAAAACAAAGTCGATCGACTCATTCTTCCGATACTGGTTATATCGAAGAACAAGTCAATAAGTGCCATTTCCATGCCCTTTTCCAATTGTTTTGCAATGTTTTGTTTTCAAGTATATTCAGTTTTCTTTTGAATGTTCCTTCCAATACCCTTCCAGGCATTGTATTCCAGATCACCACAATTAACTGTGGATAGCTTTTCAGCTCATCATGTCCCACTGAAACCTTCATGAATGATCTTAAATGTGTGTCCTCTAGTGCCAACTCACCTGCAAATAGAAACCAAAACACGGTGTAATTTTGAAAACCTCAATTAAGTATCGCAACACTTTCCTGCAGTGACGATAACAATCCCAGCTTCTCCAGTTTCTTCTTACACCTGAAACCTCATGCCACTAATAACACTCAAGCAAATTTTGTCTACATCCTCTTTCAGGTCACTTGCTAAACCTGTACTTTATAGTTTGTAGTTTTTCATTTGCTTTCCAGTTACTGTTTAATATTCTGTGCCAACATTTTATTCTTTTCAACATTTCTCTCAACTTTGAGATTTTGATCTTTCTCTTTCACTTTTAAGGTCTGATGACAGAACTAGCTGAGAAATCATTATCATCTTGAGGCTTTGTCTTGTTAGTGAGGCTGTTACTACAACAATACAACTCAACTTGGTAATCAGCACACCAATGTTTGCGGAATAGAATTCCAGAAATTCAGTGTATTAAACAAAGTCAGCTGACCCATTCTTATCCCATGTCCAGCCCTCGTCCTCCTCCTTGCCTCTCTGTCCTAACCTACCCTGTCCATCTTCCTACTCACCTATGCACTCCCTTCCCACGGACCAATCACAATAACCCCCTACCTGCATCCACCTATCACTTTCACACCTACCCTTCCCTCCCCTCCAGCCCCACCCCCTCACTTTATTTACTTCTGAGGTCCCCTCCCCCTCCCCAGTCCTGACAAAGGGTTTCGGCCCGAAATGATGACTTTTCTGCTCCACGGATGCTGTCTGACCTACCATGCTTTTCCAGCCTCACATCTGTTGACTCTGGCTTCCAGCATCTGCAGTCCCTACCGTCTACAAATCATTATTTTCCAATCTGTTTTGAGGAAGAGAGCTCCAAAGACACTCAACTCTCTACAAAAAAAAGTTTTATCTTATTTTGCTCTTAAATTGGGAACCTCCTATTCTGAACAAGTGACCCTGAGTTATAGAATTGTGCACAAGAGGAAACGACGTTTCAGTATTCATCCTGTCAAAACTCAACTGGAATTTTAAATATTTCAATCAAGTTGGCTGTTAAGTTGAGTAAACTCTCTCTGAGCTGCTTTCTAACACATTTACTTCCTTCCTTAAATAAGGAGACCAAGACTGTACATTGTACTCTAGACGTGGTCTTACCACTGGCCGGTATAACTGAAGTATAACCATCCTACTTTTGCATTTGATTCCCCTTACAATAAATGGTAACATCCTATTATCTTTCCTTATTGCTTGCTGTACTTGTGCACTAATATGTTGCAACTCATGCAGTAGGGCACCCAGATACCTTCTGTCTCTCCGAGCTTTTCAATCTCTGACCTTTTAGATAAAATGCATCCTTTCTATTCTTCCTGCCAAATTGGATAAGTTCACGTTTTTTGTGCATTATGCTCCATTTGCTAGATCTTTGCCTGATCACTTAACCGATCAATAATCCTTTGTAACCTCCTAATGTTCTCTTTGCAACTTACTTTTCTATGTTTCTTTGTCATTAACATGTCTTTGATTCTCTTCCTCCAAGTCATTTATATAAATTGTGAAAAGCTGAGACCACAGCACTAATCCCTACAGCATACTACTTCCTACATCTTACTAGTCAGGAAATGACGTTTCTGCCTACTGTTTCCTGTTAGCCAGCTAATTTTCTTTCCATGCCAATGTGTTGCTTCCACACAGTTAACTTTTATTTTTCGCAATAGCCTTTGATGTAACATCTTAACAAATGCCTTTAGAAATTCAAGTACAGTGCAGTTAGTACTTCAATGAATTCACATAAGCTGGTTAAACATGTTTTGCCTTTCACAAAAGCATATTTATTTTCTGTAATTACCTTGAATTTTTCTAAGTGCCCTGCTGTACCATCTTTAGTCATAGTTTTGAACGTATTCTCTATGACAGATGATAAGCTAACTGCCTGTAGTCCCTTGCTTTCTGCTTCCTTCCCTTTTTGAATGAAGGAGTCACATTTGTTCTTTTCGAATCTAATGGGACTTACCCTGAATTTAGGGACTCTTGGGGGGAAAAGAGATTTAAGTTGATTTTAGGACTGAGGACTTGTCAGCCTGCAGTTTGAACAATTTGCCCAATACCAGTGGGTACTTGCTGGATAATGATTGCACTGGACGTATTAATGACATTTTAAGCACACTGGAATAAGAGACTGTTTATCCAGCTGTTCCTACCTTAATTGACCTCTTTGCTGACAATCTGCATCTCATAAATGGATTGTGCCACAATGAGGTATTTCATGAATGAACAGTCAGAAGCTTATATATTCCATTAAGTAAGGCTAAACTGGTGTGTTCAATAAAAATAAGAATTTTTGCTTCACGCAATAAGATTCAGAATTAGTAAAGACCGATATGCTTTGGCAGACTGAAGTGCTCGTCTAGTATGTTGTCATAGATCACATCTTAATGTTTTGAAAAGTCTATTTGAAATCTAGCAATTGTGTAGAGCACTTTCAATGTCAATTTGTCATTTTGATTGTGTCTTTCTGAAAACAAAGACTTTCTTCAAAAATTAATACCTGCTGTATGTAGTGGACTATTAGTGTTCATGCTAATATGATATGCTTACTACTTCCTGAATGGTAAATCAGTTGGAATCCTTTGTGTAAAACACAACCGATTTTTGCCTACTGCATGTTTGTGTCTCTCTTTTTAAAATCAATGGCTGTACTACTCTCAACAGACACCCAAAATCTAACTTGGTTTAATAGCTAAAATGTTATTTTTTGATTTCAGATGTTAAAAACCTGTGCTTATTATACATGTTTGTCCAAAATTGAAATTTGTGTGTTTTGATCATAAACTTCTCAGACTAGTTCATTTTATCAGGTGACTTTTCCATCCCTAACAATAAAAGGCTATTAGAATATTAGTTGCAGTTTTGGTCTCCTTTTCTGAAGAAGGATGCTATTGCTCTCGAGGGAGTGCAGCGAGGGTTTACCGGGCTGATT